GGCTTCACGCTGCGTAACCACTACCTTCTGGGATTTTTATTTTTTATATTTTCCTTCGGGCTAGCAGCTGTTTTTAAAAAAAAAAAAATTTTTTTTTTTTTTTTTTTTTTTTTTTGCTCAGTACCTTTAGTCTATTATCCTGTCCTGCTGCTGAAAAACTGGATGGACATTAAAATTAAAAAAAAAATCAAACAATTCATGGCAGCTTCAAAATGCAGCCATACCCTTTGTAGAACAGACTAAATTAAATTCCAAGATGGTGGACAGAGTATGAAAAATAAAGCAAGCACTTATGTTTTCCCAAATGGGTAGGAACCAAACTTTTATTAGTAGCTATAACAGGCATTTATGGGCTTGGATTGGTATTTAAACCATCACCTTCAAGTGTAAAATCAAGCCATAAGCCTGGTTGCCAGCTTCTTTTAAATGTTTAATTTGGAGCCTTAGTTATATAATGTGACAGTTCAGATAAGGCAGAGATTAGGCCATCATTCACAGTTTTTGCAAAAAAAAAAGTGCCCGTTTTGTCAAGATAGTAATTATGTCAATCTGCACAGTAGCTACAAGCATTTCCATGAAAACAGTAAGCTAAGAACCCCCTAAAGTCCCATTCCTTCGTCTGCCTAGCTTAAAGTAGGCACAGGGAGACAATAAACAGGCATGATTATTTTGGTTAAATGACCCTCCAGTCTCTCTCTCCCAAATTATGTCCTACAGAATTCTATAGAGTTCTCTGTAAGTGGCATTTTACATTGGATCTGTTTTTGCAAAGACTTTTTTTCTTGGGTCAACACAGAGCTAGGAGAAACGAACTCTATATTCTAAGATGTCAAAAGGAACTGGAATTCAGTGTGTAGATTTCAGTGAGCCTTGCAGTAAGCCAAGAGTCCAAGGTGCATACGTGAGAGTAGTTCATAGAAGCCTTATAAAACCACTTGGAGCTTCCTAGGTTATATACAACTATGCTTGCATAAGAAGTCACCCACATCACCTCTGGTAAAAAGGCAGGCAAACAGAAGCTGCTGTGTCTTAAAGGGATGACCTCTGTCAAGCAGAACAATGATACTGCACTTAAATCCACTTGCAGCCGCACAGTAATTGGTGAGGGGCTGATTCAGTCTTTGCAAGAACTGAACCAGCCGATTAAGTACAGTTTCAGGCCAGAGAGCAAGTCTACGAATGACACTATAAGGTCAGCCCAAAGTGAAATATGTCTTGAAAAATCTGAAGGGAGAAAGAAACAGCAGGAGCCAGAGTCACCTCTGCCTTTAAACAAAGAAATAGCGGGCAAGATGCTTCTGCAGAATTTGGCGGCAGAGTCCCTTGACTTAAACGCGTCTCCAGCCTTTGAAAAATATTAAAATGCTCTACCGAAGTTTAGCAAAAGGAGTGAAAACACTCACTGCTGGGTGATTGTGCATATTTCATACGAGAGTGGCAGCTCTGTGGAATTCATTCATTTCAAAGGATGACTACCCCATTGTACAACGTTGTAGGTCTTCTGAGAATTCAATCCAGCTCTGAATAGCCTACTGAATTTTGGTTAACCGGGAATAGCTGCTCTGAGTCTCAATAGCTTGGAGAAGGTGCAAAATACCAAATGCTCAGTACAAGCAGAGAGAAATATTTAAAGAGTCTCTGATTTTCCCCAGCGGTCTGAACTGAGCAATTGCAAAACAGACTGGAGACCCTTCACAAAACCCATGTTTCACAATGAAATACTCCAGTCCCCTATGAAAGAAAGCAAGTTCACAAAGCAGCCTGTGGTTGATGGTAAAAGTGTGATACATTATTTGCAGCACAGCTGTGCCGAGTGCCCATTTCAAAGACCTCAGGGGTCTCCACTCCTTACTACCTCCTTACCTCCCTCCCCCCAAAAAACAACAGTGAGCCAATCTAAAATTAAGCAACAGTGAATTCTTGATCTATGTCCAATTCCTGGGTAGCCTGCTCTACCGTCTTCATTTTTTGTTTGTTTTTTTTGCAACTAGTCTCCGGCTCATCCCCTTGTCTGGAGCCCTGTGGGCGCACACAAAGACACACAGACACACTGAACACAGACGCCAACCAGTTCAGGGTCAAAGACGAAAAGGAAAGGAAAGTGCCCATCTCTGCATTAGCACTGTGAATCCCCGAGGCTCCAAATGCTGGCCTCTAAACCATACAGGCAACGGTGTGTGCTGAGGGGTGGAGTAGCAGGGTCGAGGGGGCTCCGGCTCGGAGAGCTGGAGACGAGAAGGAACGGAGACAAGAGGAAAAGACCCAAAGGATTCACAATTTCCTGCACCCAAAGGTGCGCTGGCGGCTTTGATTTCCACCCCCAACCCTCCTTTCAAGGCTCCTGGCAGAAGCAAGCTCTTTGTGAATTCCTTCCCCGCGCTGGGCCCCTGGGCTCAGCCAGAGGGGACACCTTTGTGTGTCTCTTTGAAGGGGCACCTACGGAACAAAGGTTCAACACCTGCACGCTGCTGAGAACAATGGCTGCGAAAGGAACCAAGTCATCAGCGCCTTAAAATTAGCGGGGGATTCCCTCCTGGGTGTTGGAAAGGGGAGGGGGCTGGACCCAGGGAGCAATCCCCGGGCAGCGGGACCCGGCGTCGCGCGGAGGAGCTCCACGAGCCCTTGGGAGCACGCGTGGCCGTGGCCCCCGCGCAGTCCCGCCGCCCTCCCCGCCGCGGGCTCTCCCCAAAACGCCCCCGCCGCAGTCCGCCGCATTGCCCGCAACGCTCTAAAAACTTCGCAACTAGTCGAACAGGAACAAATAAATACATAACCCCATTTAACGAGACCACGGATAATTATCCCGCGAATCTCCCTCCCCCCCCGGACTGCAGGGCTCGGCAACCTTCCGCCCCCTCCGGCCCCCTCCAAAAGGCCGGGGGGGATCTTCTTAAAAGACAAAAAAAAAAAAGCAAAAGCAAACCCCGGGCTTTTTACCTTGCACACCAGCTCCTCTCCACTGTGCAGATGCACGGCACGAAAAACGTGGTCTCCCTCCAGAGGTTCTAACAATAAGTATTTCCCGATGCAAGAAACGCAATGCGACAAGTTCGGAGTCTCAGGCGGGCTCGGGGAGCCAAGGTTCGGGCTGAAACTCTGGCTGGGTTCAGCGGACCTTATAGACGACAACTCTTCGAAATCCTGGGTTTTGTTCCGCGATCTCCCATATCTTGCTATTGTGATGGGGGTAGACCTGTGTATGTTCATGAGTGTGGGGATCGCACTCGACAAACAAAAAAACCCGCTGGAGAGACGAGTCGCTGGCGAGTGCGTCTGCAGGCGCCTCGGTGCCACGGATTTTAAAAGGGAACGAGAGGGGAGGGGGCGGGAAGGGGGCTACGTGGAGAAAGAGTTAGAAGCCCCCAAATGGGCGCCGCCGGGCACCTTGTCTGCTCCGAGCCCGGCTCCCGGGGGTCCTCGGTCGGCAGCAACTCGGGTCCTTTTGTTACCCCAAAGCCGCCAGCGATTTGCAGAATCTTCGCACTTTTAGTTTCTCTCTCTCTTTCTCTTCTTCCAGAGTGGATCTAGACGAGTAACCAGGTTGCTAAGGTGGGGAGCTGCAGCGCCGGGTCTCCCGAAGCGATCCCCACGCAGGCTTCCGAACCGCAGACGGGGCGGAGGAGCCCGGCTGTAGTTTGTGCAATCTTCGGGGAGCGCACGGCCGCTGCTTGGTCTCAGCGCGTTAGAAACCAAACAAAAAGAAAAAGGAAATAAGCACGGGTACCGGCTCGCGCCGCACCGCAGACAGAATCCGCGCTGCACCCCCTTTTTTGGTGGAAAGGGTGGGGGGCGTGGAAGGGGGGGTGCCGGAGAGGGTAGTTACCTACGTTTTAACTGTAGATGGCGTCTGAGGCTTTTCCAAGACCGCAAGAGCTCTCCAAAATTTAAACAAACAGACAAAAAAAATAGCAAGGGAGCATTTAACTTAGAGCGGTCAGCGCTGCCAACAAAAGATTGCAAAAGCTGGGCACAGAGTTGTGGTCCGGGCACAGGTACCACGGCAAAGCCCAGGGCTTGGCCCGCCGGGCGGAGGTCAGCACCGGCTCATGCTGTCGCCGCTCCCTCGCGCTCCAGATCGTCCTCCGAATAAAGCGAGAAGTGCGGGCAGGGACAAGGGTAGATCAATGGTCTCCGAGCTTCCGGGGGTCCTCCCGGCCCTGGAAGGGGATGCACCCCCAGCCCAGTCAACCCGCGCTGTTCCTTTCTCGTTCGGTAACTGGATCTCGCCTTGGAATAATTTGCAACCACTCCGTCTCCCCTTACCCTCAACCCAAATTGCCTGGCGGGGTTTGTTTTGGAGAAAATTGACGGCTTTTCTTCTTCTTTTATTTTGTTCTTCCCCCAACCGGAGGTAAGAGGAATGTGTACTTAAAATTGAAGGGGACGGCCGACGGTGCCCGAGGCCAATCCCCGAGCTCAGCACGCCCGCATCTCTCTGCGAGGCGGTATTAATAGTTACTTACGTGGCCGGGGATCTCGGAGCGAGCGGGGCCGTGTGTGCGCGTGTGTGTGCGCGCGCGCGCCTAGCTCGCGCTCAGTCTCCCCATTCAATGTCACCGACACATTTCTACGGCGCCTCCGCCCCCCCCAGCGGCACCGGCGACTGGCTCAGCCCAGAGCAGGCCCCGCCCCTCCCCCGCCCGGGCCGCCCTCATTGAGCCGGGTGCCCATCAATCAGCCTCGCCTCTGCCAGTCCCGGGGCGGCTTCCCGCGCCCGCGGCCGGCTGCCACTGCCATTGCAGCTCCCGGCCCCGGGCGCGGACGCTTGCCTCCCAGTTGGATGACTCGGCCCGGGCGAGGTAAACAAAGTGCATTATCCAACCGCGGCCCGGGGCTGGGGAGGTAGAGCACCGGACCGGGGAGGGAGGGTCCCGGCGCCTCCACAGGCTGACTGCGCGCGCGGCTGGGCAGGAGTCGCCCGGTCACAAGTACCCAAGCAGCTCCAGCAGTGGCTAGTGGACTTTCTAACCCGTTCGTCTTCCCCAGAAAGCCAGGCATCCTCTGAGCATCAGGACACCGCTGCTCAGATGTAGCTTTTCTCCGTGGAGAATGTGCTTGCATCAGTGGTGCCGCACGGAGTTTCAAAAATTAGTTTCGTTATCTTTTACTAACACTCTTCTCCCCATTTAAAAAGAAATCGATTGCTTACTTTTAGTTGGTGTCACCCTCCAAACCCCGCCCCCCACCAAGGCTTTGAGTATTTTCTGCAGAAGACCAGCTTGAAGGCACCTTTTAACTCATACCAAAGGTAATCACTAATTCTTCCTCTCCCAAGACAGTGCCCAGAGGGCCTTGGCCCAGTGAAACAATGCCCTCAATGCCCTACGCACACCTCCTGCGAGGCTCCAGGCCGCTCCAGTGGCGCCCCCTACCCCGACGCACACGTGGACCAAAAAGGCATTCAACACTGAGAATCAGGTGAGGGCTGCCTTTTCACTCCAGTTATTCTCAACTTCTGCAGGAGGTGCCAGTCCTCTGGCTTAGGCAGGCACACGTCAGGAAAGGGGCTTGAACTCAGGCAGAGACTGGGACCTCCAGGCCTTAACCTAATGTATCCTGGTAAATCAAGCAATCTGGTTGGGGGAACAAACTTTAAAAAATATATAAATAAATAAAAGCCAAGGGGCGTTTACAAGACTCTTGGAGCCCTCTGAGCTTTTACATGCATGTATGCATATTTTCTAGTGGGGGAGGAAAAGGGGACTATATCATGTATTGCCCACAGTAGGACACTTTTGAGCAAAAAAGAGAGCTCTGTATAATTATGCCCCCTGGAGCATATTTATAATTTATAATTATGCACAAACAAGTTACTCTGGTGATAAGCAGTTCCTGGGAGGCTGGCCAGAGAGGACATAGACTGTACGACAGGCCACCGCAGGGCCGCAGGGTTTGAAAAGGTCAAGGAGTGGTCCCATGCCTCCTGGCAGGTCTCCCCAACCTACTCCTCACAAACCAGGACCCAGTCCCTGACCCTAGGGGGACTCATCTGTTTCCCCAGGCCATCACCATGAGTGGTGAGTAGTATCCTTTCACCCAGTCTGGTCCCATGAAGACACCTGTGCTGGTCCCTATCTCAGGAACAGACCTCTGTTTCTCTGCTGAGGGGTCAGAAAGAAAGGCGCCAGCCTCCTCTGTTCAGTGGCCACCAACAGTGCTTTATAACTAGGGGTTTAGGAGACCCTGTTCCAGCCCTGTCTGGGCCTCTGATTTTTGAATGAAAATTGAGTCAAGACATTTTTTTTTTTCCTCCCTGGGTCCCCTTTTTTCAACTGTAAAATGAGAAGCCTAACACCCACCCTGCTCAGCTCATGTGATTGCTTTAGAATTATATTTTTCAGTTCCAGGAAATCTATGAAGGTTTACCATAAGCTGGGCCTGCACTGGGTGTTAAGGATCCAAGTATGAGTAAGATTTGGTCTCTGACGCCCAGGAGCTCCTAGTCCGGCTTCAGACAAACATATGGAAATACATCATTTCATTGTGTAACAATGTGGCAATTAGATATCAAGGCATCCAAGAAGTGTAGAGGAAGGAACCACTTTTCCCGGGCTTCAGGGAATTTTCCAGAAAATGTGATTTTTTTCACCTTGAATTAATCCAGAGCAAGTATTTATTGAAACCTACTGTGCACCAGACACTGAGAAAAGAGATACAATGATTTAAAAAATGTACTTTCCTGTGCTCATGGATCTTGAAAAGGTTCTATGAGTCATGCGATAACATAAATAAGAGACTGTCATTGGCATTTCAGGCAGAGAGAAAGAATGTGCAGAAGCAAAGGAGTGGGATGTTCTGAAATTTCTAGTAACTCCCCATGGCTCTGGTATTGGCAGCTTGGTGGCAGTGGCCAGGCATGTGGCAGGCAAAGTGAGTTGGGATTAGAATGGGGAGGGGCTGATAGACCAGCCAGAATAGAAGAGATGTAGAGTCAAGGCTACCATTAAATGCGGCAAGTAGCATGGTTGATTGGGGTTCTAGAAGGGTCACGCTGGAGGTCACATGGAGTAAACATCAGTGCGCTTGCAAGGGAAGAGAAAGCACTGTCACCTGGAGAGACTGAGAAAATAACTGATGCTGTAAACGATTGTTAGTATTGATACGTTCATTACTTCTGATGAAATTACACAGTGGCCACAGTCCTGCCCGTTCTTGAAGGCCAGATTCATGACCTTTGGAAACGACTGTAGTGCAGGATAAATTACATAATTTATACCAAGTGCCTTCAACCTTTTTACCTGGATTGATAGTAATTCTTCTCAGATTGAAAAAAAAAAAAACAAACATGTAGTAGGAAGATCTGTGTGGGACTCTTCATTCATTCACTTTTTAGCTATATGACCTTAGATGAATTTAGAATACCTTAATTATAAAATAGAACTATAATCTGAATTTTACCTAACGTGAAAATTATGGAAGATGTATATAAGGCAACTAGCACAAGGTCTTGCATGTAACATAAATAAATATTATTATTATTATTGAAATATGTCCACAGAAAGCAATCCAACTTTTAATAAATAATAATAATAGACAAAATGCTTAAAATAGCAATAAAATGTATAGGAGTTGTTAAATATACAGTTGTAGGTATGGTTAAAGACAATTATGTAGCTATGATAAAAGGTGATGTGCCAATTAAAATAAGGATTATGTAATTACAGGGAAATATTAAGCAGTCCACTCTGTAGAACAGTCAGATCCAGTTGCCGTAGGTCACTCATCTGTTCTGCATGCTTTCCAGACATTCTCTGTCTTGAAATGTACTTAACCGCTCCTTAATTCACTTCATCACTCGTTAGTTCATTTATTTAGCAAACGTACAGTAGTTTCCTGCTAAGTATGAAGCCCCAAGTACTGTGTTCGTTGATCAAATAAATGGTTTCTGAGAACAACTCCTAAGACTACTCCGTCACTTGAAGGCTGACGTATACCACGGGTGATGACATTCATGTTTCTTAAACAACTCTCACAGCAGGCCATACCTAGGCTGAAAAATCTGTGACAAACTTCCACGACGAACTGTAGAGAATGCTACCATGTGCTGACTGACGTGCAGGCTGTGGACTGAACATTCCATTCGTTACACTGGAAGTCCAGAACATTCCATTCCCCATTGAAGTCTTTGTGAATGGCACCCCTGGGGTTGTGCAAAACACAATCTTCTTGACCGTACCTGGAAACTTGGGTATAGACACGGGGCTGAAGCTCAAGAACTTCCCAACAACTTCATCTCCCACTCCTCTTGGCTACATGCCCACTGGCCACTCACACCATTTTGTGGACTCCAGTTTCCCACCTCTATGCCTATGACTTGAGTCATACCCTACTTGATGGTTGGTGCCTCTATGTTTCCCTGGAATTACTCCTTTCCAAGGTGTTCCCTCTACGTTGCTCTAGTCATGTTCCCTAGTTCTCTTATTTGGCTTTATGGCTGCCTCAGGTTTTAAATGTTATGTTCAGGATCAGGGAGGCATGGGTGTGCTTGGTCAATAATGAGGAGGTTGGTGGTGTTAATGCATGAGTTGCAATCTAGATATTCCTGATGATAGAATCTACAGATCTCTTAGTATCAGAATCAGTAAAAGTCGTCAAGAAGATAAGTGCCCCTAATTATTCCTCCATGTTAACTCTAGGAAGAGTTTCTGTCAGTCCTTTGTGTAAGTAGGAAGGGAGAGATCCAGGGAAGAGGGTGCACAGCTTCCCTGCTGCAGCTGTCAGAGATGCATTTGGCCAAGTTCACTATGACCCTGGGGTTTGGATACAGTCATGATGGAGAGATAATTTCCAGTGGTGATGAGGCCTGTGGCATGCTTCCAAGCTTCATGACATAAATTGCCCCATTACTGTGAGAGTCTTCTCTATTACTAACTTTAATAATAATTATACTTTAATTATGCCTTTTGAGTGCTAGACTAGCCACTTTCTCTCTGGTTCTTATACAACCCATCAAAATAGATATTATTACCCCCACTTTACAGATGAAGAAACCAGGACCCAGAGAAAATCTTTAACTTTTTCCGTGGTTGCCCATTACTCAGTGGCTATGCTGGTCACGTGTGTGTGTGTGTGTGTGTGTGTGTGTGTGTGTGTGTGTGTGTGCGCTGGGGAAGAAGGGGGTGGGGAATGAATAAGGTTTACTACATCACATTGCCTGTCGTCATGCTTTTTTAGATGTCTAAACCTTTGGCTTAAATGGCCCACTTATAATCCTTCCATAATAGGGATTTCTTTTCTCAATTTTTTCCAAACAGCTTGTGTTTGAAAAATAGCTGCTTATGTCCAAGGTGAATCCTAGCAGTACCTATTAAAAGGTGACTTTGTGATGGTTTGTTTTACCATGGCTAGGTAAGGGGTCTGTTTTTCTCTTTGGATAAATGGTCCACTAGGAAAAGTCCAGTGTATAAATACAGAAGGAATTGCCATTTTGGAACCATTTTTTTCCCCAGGCCCTAGGAGAAATTTTTGTTGTTGTTGTTGCTTTTAAATTAGAGGATGCTGGGAAACCCAGCATATGGGAATTTTCTGGATATCGCAAATTGTCTACCATCCTGTTATGTATTGCTGAGCAGCTAATAAACAAAAGTGAAAACAGGTAAAATGATCCAGCTAGTCCAGGAAGTGCTGCAAATTTACATTTATCTAGAGGGTTAGGTTACTGTAAAAAGAGATTCAGTCTGAAGGGTGTTCTGGAAAATCTAGTTATGTGTTTCCATACCTGGCACACAGACAGACCTCGAGGGAGATGAGCGCCCACCTTTGTTTCATGAGCTTTAGGGCTCTGAGTGGCACTTCAATCCCCTGCCCATCGTGGAGTGGCGGTAACGATAATTTCCTTACCAAGGGAATAGGCTGAATCAAATGATCATTTACGTCCCTCTTCAGCTTTTAAAAGCCAACCTTCAGTTCGGGAAAAACAAGCTGGTCACCAGTAAACCAGTGTGAACTGTGACCAGTGTGAACTGTGACCAGTGAACAAGGACACATTGAGTTGATCTGGGCCCCAACTTGGCCAATTAGCAACATGGCCTTGGACGGCCCTGATTGCTCAGATTAAGGTCTATTAAGAATTAATACGTGCCACAGCCTTGCCAGTTTACAAAGCACTCTTATGAATTTTGTGCCATTTAATCTTCACGATAGCTCCGTAAAGGAGGTTCATTACTGGCCTTGGTAGAAGAAACTGTGTCTCAAGGAATTTAAGTCGCTAGCTTGAGTACAAACCCAGCACTTCTGAGGGCAAATCCTGCGTTCATTTTATGGCACAGCTCTCCTTCCTGCCACTGCCTTCTCCCTCTGCCTTGTCCTTGCCTCCCTCTTTCTCCTCTCTCTCTTCTCTTTCCCTCTGTGTCAAAATTTTGTTTTAAATTTAAAACAATTTTGAGGTCCTACATTGGGGCTCCTTGCATAGAATTTCA